TATATATATATATATAGGCATATATAACTTTAGATAGAGGGAGAAAAAGAGAGAGACACACAGAGAGAGGGGGAGATTAAGCAAAGCTAAAGAAGAAAGTTAGAGAACTTTGTTGGCTCTAATTTAGGAAATAAAACACATTCACTGTAGCAGGGAGTGTATTGTTAATTAGGAGTGACACAATTGTCTTGAAGAGCTGCAGGGTGGGCCATATAACCACCAGATGAGTGCTTCAAGACAACACGACTTTGGCACTGATATCCAAGGACAGAGCAGTGATGCCAGGACATGTCAACACAGCTGTGCAGTAGAGCAGCAGCAGCCCTCAGTGTTTGTGTGAAAACCCATAATGGGCCACTTCAGATTGCCCTTTCCATACTGACAAGGGGATAAGCTTATCAAGAAGGGACTGTTAGAGTTGAATAGTTTCCATTTATCACTTTTGGAGCATGCAAAGCTTTGACAAAACAAGTAACTTTTATGCAACTAAATGTCAGAAGTTTAAGTGCATTCTGGATGGAGCAATTTTGTTCATTTATTTCCGTTTACAATTAAGTCTTGAAAACGGAGTTGTTTCACAGGTAAAAGGCAGGTACAGAAAAATATTGGAAAAAAAGGAGTAGCTCCACCAGTTATCTTAGCTCAACTTTTCTTTCAGTATGTTTTGTGTTATTATCAATTGAAAATGTTCTGGAAACCTTTTGTTCTTTCTGAAAACAATAAAAGTAAAGGAAAGTTTTAAAAGCGGGATTTTTAAAAAAACACAGATTGTGGTTTGTTGTTTGTGATTCTTGCTGAGCTTTACATAATTGCTTTTTTTATTGACTACAGAAAGAAGAAAACTTATATAGATTTACAAAAAAAAAAAAAACACTTGTTTTGAAATACTGAATACCAATAAGCAATTTGGCAAAAAAGAAGCAGAGGGAGGGATTTAGTAACAGCGTTTATGAATCTGTGTTTTTTACTCAGGAACCTCACTGCTGTGAACTCCAAGGTTATTGCTGTGACTATAAGACCTGAGCCCAAGGCGACTGAGTCCCACCTGGAGATTGAGTTGGCTCACCTGGCAAATGTAAGCACCACAGTAATTTTGAACCACGTTAACTGTTTGAATTTCATTGTCCATTTCTAGGTTGGAGTGATGATGCAAGTAATACCTAAAATTAATTTCAAAAGTAAGAATAAAAATTGGTAATTAATTTAGAATACAGTACAGTCTTCTTAGATTTGAAACCCTGTCCTTGATGGTTCCTAACTCATTATGGGCAGGTCTCCTAAGTCTCATTTCACAAAAAAAAAAAAAAAAAAATGTTTCATGAAAAACCATAAGTCCATACGGGTCGCTGCAAATCATAACTAAGCTTCATAGCACCAAACTTTTGTCTAGGAAAGACACCAGTCTCCTCATTTCCACTTCTACATTGAAAGTCACACTGGTGTTCCTGCATCTTCTGATTTAGGATCAGAGTGAGCCTTGGTGGTTCCTAATTTTTTTTTTTCTACTTTTTAACTAATCTCCTTTCATGTGACTTGGACACTTTAACTTAACTGGTTTATGCAGTTGGGTGCCCCCACAAGACAATGGCTAGCATTAATCTCGTGAAATGATCCCAGCCTCCTCCCTTTCGAAATTGTGTGATCTAAGCTATGAGGGAACCAACTAATGATAAATAAAATTGATGCTGTTATTGTTGGTAAGAAGAGGGGTCAAATATGTCTATGTAATATATTACATTTGACCACATTTGGATAAGAGAAAATCAGCAATTAAATCAGACTTGTGCAACTATTTCTTGTTTTTCATTTAACTGATCCTTGTTAAAAATGAACCATTCAGACAAATCCATCAAGGCTTAAAATTAAACAGCTTTCATACTCATGCTTAATACATGTAAACTTTTCACCAGCACTATAGCTTGAAATTGAACGATAAACCCCATGCATTTTTTTATTTTATTTTATTTTTTTTAGAATTTTCTCATATGATATGGAGGCTACCTGGTGTTATTTAAACAGATGTTTGATATTTCTCTATTGAATCTTCTACAAAGATCACATTGTCTATCGCCTTCCTTTAGGAGAGACACAGTGTCGGTCAAATGGCTTGATAATTAATTTGCGAGCACAGAGTGTCTGGAGCTGCATTCAGTTAATTACAAGGACAATTCCTTTTTTATGGTCAAGACCTTTTTTATGCATCTTAGAGATAAGGCACAAGTAAATCTGAGTGCGTCATCAAATGTGTCTCACTGTGCGGTGCTCTGGTAGTGCAAACCATGGTCTAATTTATGGTTCCTGTGATTCATTAACTATATTTTTAGAAGGCTAACATTGGATATGTGATAATGATGGTGCTGTGATGATGAAAATGATGAGTTATCTTTGTGATTTACTGAGATTTGTTACACCTTTCTTGTATTCCAGGGAACAATGAAGCCTTACTGTGCACTCTGGGACAGCACCATAATGTAAGTGGGCATCGATAATCTAATCCATATGAGTGAACATGTCTTAGACACAATATGATGCACCGCAATAAATTGAACAGTGATAGAGTTAAGCAAAAAATGTTATGTTTGCTGAGACGCCCACCTATTCATGTGGATTTAGTTTATGGGATTTTTTTTTTTTTTTTTTTCAATGTTGCTGGGTCAGTGTTGCTCAGGCACTACAGCTGCAGTGTTCCTCTGCAGCAACTGCCGGCATGATTTCTGAAAGACTTTAACATGAGTCACACTTGAATCGTACGCTCACTCCTGAAAATCATAATCAGAGAAATCAGGTTTCGTTTTTAATGGTGTCATATTCTTAAGCAATAAAGAACAACGACAGCAGATGTAGAAAGTGAACAAATTAGCAGCAGGTGTCGATATAGATATCTGCTTGATTAAAAGAGTGCTGAAGCATCAGTCCTGCATTGCAATCCAAATGTATTCAATATTTGCGCAACTATTTCCCAGTGAAGTTTGTCACACTCCAATGCCTTATGTTGGGATTTTATATGGCAAACCAACACTAAGCACAGCATAATTGTGAGTGAAAGAAAAATGAAAATGTGCTTTTCAAATTATTTACAAATAAAAGCCTAAAAAGTGTGTGGTGCATTTGTTTACCCCAAAAATGAAATCCAGTGAAACCAATGGCTTTCAAAGGCCTGTGTGTAATATAATTTCAGTATAAATACTACTGCTCCGTGAAGGCCTCGGGGGTTTCTTACAAAACATTAGTGAAAAAGCAGCCTCATGAAGACCAATTCACCCCTCAGACATGCCAAGGAGAAAGTTATTGAGAGCTTTAAAGCAGGCAGAGAGGCCCTTGATAATTCCATTGAAGGTGTAGAGATCCACAGCTCAGCTGGGCAAATCTGTCAACTTGACAACTGTGGAGTCACTTTTCTGTGGCAGGAACAGGGAAGCAGAGTTGATTTGGAAGATGGATGGAGGCAAATGCAGGTCGACAGAGAACATACAGCCACAAAAATAATGTTATGCAGAGGTGTCCAACGTCAGTCCTCAAGGGCCAGGATCCAGCATGTTGTTGTTCTCTCCTGGTCCAACACACCTGGATCAAATAATGGCTCGTTGGCAGGCTCCTGCAGAACATTGGCATGCTGAGGAGGTAGTAACTACCTCTAAGAAGAGAACTAAGACATGAAGGATACCGACTCTTGAGGAACGACTGATGGAACGGTTTAGGATCTAAACCGTTCCATCAGTCATTGGAGCCAACCCAAAGGTTGCAGCCAACTCAATGCTTTGATCTAAATTTTACTTCAAAGCATATTTAGGAGCTAGAACGACCAGACCTGACTTCAGTTAAGAATCTGTTTATGTGTTTATAGATTCACTCCATGCAGTCTGACTGAGCTTGAGCTATTTTGAGAGGATTTATTTATTTATTTTTTTTAGATGTGTCATAAAGACATACTTTAATTTCAGCAACAGGTAGTTTTACAAAGTACTTACTCAGGATGGCTAAAAGCAAATGCACCCCTCTCCCTTCAGATTACAAATTTGTAGATGATGTCGAAATGCACGATTCATTGTTCTTCCACTTATCAAATAGAATACATTAAAGTTTGTGGTTAAAATGTTTGAGGGATACGAATAATCTGACAAGCTGCTACAAACACTGAACGTCGAAACATTTCCCACTGCTAGCATTAAGCAGTATGATTTACCCATTTCTCTACTCATAGATTCTGATTGGTAATTTATATTTCATTGAAAGTATTGTGTGCTACCAAACGTTGTGGTACTTTACCTGTCCTTGGCATTGTGGTGATGCCGAAGAGGCTTATGGTTCCTTCTTTGCCTCTTGATTGGTTTTGTTTCTCTGTTGCCAATGTTCTCCTCATCCTATCTCTTCACGCTACACTAAAGACTAGAAACAGTAAGTGTCTTTGTCCACACAGGGAATCGACTGTAGGACACTAGAGAGCAAGTAAACTCTGCTGGGGGCTGGAGATAGAAGTAAGAAGCTGGGTAGTATGAGTAGTTGGCCTCTCTAGGCAAAGAGAGATAAGGCCATCCTCTAAAGGACAGACAGCAGAAGAGGTTGATTGAACTGTTGCTAGGAAACTGAGGGTAAATGTTTTTTAGTACAATGACAAAAATAATGCGGGGCAGATGAGGGTGGTAATTAATTAATTCTTATGATATTACACACAGCACAGGAGAGAACTGCTGCGATGAATTGCTCATGTCAATTTTGTCTGTTGGCACGTGACAGAGAAACTTAGAATTTTTTTTTTTTTTTTTTTGATTATTGGTTATTACTGCTTTATAACAGCTGTTCATCTTAGGTGTACCCTTACAATGACAACCACACCAATTTATGTCTCAAAATGAACTCTGCATCAAATGATTTTGATCATTTCAAAACAAAATCATCTAAAATTCTCTCCAGTTTTCTATGTTTTAACTGGGAAGCTTGCATCACTAAAATATGCTTCCAGTTCTTCAGTATAAAACCTCTTCCCTGTTTGATTCATTCAGATATTTGACATAAACTGATGTTCCTCTATTTTCCTTTGAGGATAAAAAAAATGACAATAACAATGAATTTGATGTCATGGAAAAGTTAAAGATGTTAAATGCATATCAACTAAATTAGGTCTAGAAAAAATTGTTAATTCATAACCTATGGTAAAACAGTGCAGACTAGATGGCATATAATGTGAAAATTGTAATTTACTCAATATAGACTTAAACTTAAAAAAAAGAAAAAAAAAAGGTTTGTGACACTATTGTAAATAAAATATGTTTTTTTTCATAATTGCCAGTTTTGTGCGTAGATTAAAATGGTTTAAGATTAATTATTTAAAAACATCACTGTGACACATTTTAAGGAATTGCCAGTCTACTAAAATAAACAATACCAAACTGTAAATTATATTTGTATCAAGTATTAAATAATTTTTCCAAAGATAGAATTTAGTAGAACAAACTGTTTCACATTATTTCTGCAAAATTGTAAGCACAGCCATAGACGAAAGTGGTTGATAAACAGTTCATGATGGAAATATATCTTTAAACAGCATTTGATTTCAGCCTGCTGTTCCTCTCTTGCAGCCTTTGAGGGCAGCTGGTCTATTTTGAACTGCAAAGGTACAACTAGGACAACTCTGCTCCATTCTCTTAATAATTTTCACAAACCATATGCTTTCAGATCAGCATTTTTTCTGATCTGCATTAAGTCATTTTAATCAGAGTGCTGCTGAATGACTCTGTGGGACTGTAATCATCTTCATTTCAAACATTTGGCTCTGCCCATTACCCAATGGCAAGCACTCTCAAGACTCGATGATGGGACAATGTACCATCTGTCGAACACGTTGGTTTAAACCAAATTAGGGTGCTCTTTGAAACTATTGGCAGAGGAAAATTGTGGGGGAAAACTTGAATGGTGGATCACTATGACAATGCCCAGTTTTATTTAAGACTACGAGAACTTAAAAACTTTTAAAGTTGTTTTAATTAGACTAATTTCAAACCAACAAAGCTGTTATTGTCATGACTAAAAATAGGTTAAAAATTAATGTATGTAAAAATAACATTTAAATCAATTGAAACCACAGTGTAAAAGTGAGTCACAAGTTATATTTAATCGTAATTCATAAACATTCATATATCTGTATTCATAACAGAATTATTTTTACATTAATACTGTTAATAGAAACAATACGTGTTCTGTAAAAAAAGAAAAAAAAAAGTCCTAATCAAATTATTCTTATGAATATTATCTTTGTAAATAGTTTAAAATGTTATGGCATATGCTGAAATAATTTGAATTCTTTAATTAAACTCTGTTTTGTGTTTTATTGTGATAGTGAGAAAGTCAAAGCACATGGATCATTCTGAGACATCCCCCCACTCTTTTTTAATATACTCCTGAAGTCAGCAGCTCTACGGCAAGAACAGTAAACACTTCAAATACTCAACCTTTTATTGCATTTTAAATGTCAATGTTTTCTGCTCTCAAGTGGATTTAAGAGTACCACCTCTGAGGAGATGAAAAACTAAAGAAATTAAAACACCATTTAGATCACTGTAGAAGAAATTGATCAGCTCCTTTTTTTTTAACATTTTGCTTTTTTTTTATTTTATAAAAATATAACATCTTCTAAGTGAGTAACTTATGCCTAAACTGGATTATATATTATATCAGGTATATCGCATTTAATACTGCTGCTGTAGGGATTCATTAATCTCATAAAACATGTAACACCAAGGAACAGTTTTGTTTTTAAATGTTAAATGTTTCACTTCATCTGATCTTCGTCTGTAGCTGGATGACTGTAGTATCATCTGAATGCCTGTAATCAGTGCATTAAAAAACTCACCTTACTGTGTGATATTTTGACCTTTAGAAATCCTCTCTCAGATTATTCATCAGATTATTCAGAAGTGTCTAATTTGAAATGTCAAACAGAATAGTTTACAATGTACCCCTGGAACAACATTTTTTTGTTAAATCAACATCTTCCAACACCTTTTTCTTCTTTTACAGATCTGTCATACTTTTTTGATATATTATATGTCGTTGACGTATTAACGTTTAAAATAAGCATACTTCCAATGCGTTTAAGGTTCATTAAAAAATAAAGAATAAATGTTCAACAAGTGTTTTATATTAAATATCACATGCGTGAACATTTTCAGTTTCATATAAATGAAAGATATTAACTTGTAAATATTATGAGACACTATCTGATATTTATGAGATACTATTTATAATTCTGATTTAGCTACATCATAATAATGTGATAGAATTTTATTTTTTATTAAATAGTTAAGTCACAATAATAAGAAAGCAAAGTCAAAACTGTAAGATAAAAGTATTTCTTTTTTTTTTCTTTTTTTTTAGCAGGATGGCAGAAATGAACTTCCATAATAAATAAAAAATGTATAGGTTGAAAAAACTACACTAAGGACTTCAATCATTTTTGCAAAACGAAGCAGAAACA